CACGGCGTTGCGGTCCACGCTGGCGGAGGCGATCCACTCCTGCAGGTCGTTGAGCAGTATGTCGGGCGCGATGAGGCGCTGGCAGCCGATGGAGAAGATGGTCGGGTCGGGGGCGCGGTCCCAGTCAGCGAGCTTGGTGAGGTCCGCGATGGGCGCCTGAGCTTCAGCGAGCGCGAGCGTGTCACGCATCTGATCGATCTGCTGCCACATCTTCTTCTGCTCGTCGGCTTACCGGTCTTGTTCACGGCGAGTGCGGGCGACTGCATCATGTAGGGTGTCCACTCGGCGTTCGGTAGCAATGACTTGTTGTGCGAGAATTTGACGACAGCTTTCACGTGATTCATTGAGTAGAGCGTTGGCCTGGGCTTGGAAGGTGGCGGCGGCGCGTTCGACTTGAGTCTGCATGACTTGTTGAAGAGCAGCTTCGGCATCAGGAGGCAGGCCTGGGATGCTTGGGAACGATCCAGGCGTGGCTGTACCTCCAGCGGCTTCGATGGAGGCTGGTATGTCCCCGCCATGAAGGTCGGCGGCGGCTCCGACGGCGGACGTTCGTCCAGCGGTTTGTTGGCCACGCCAAGGGTCACGAGCTCCTGCCAGTGGGTCTGCTTGTAGGTGTCCTCCTGCTGCTGGAGCTGCCTCGACTGCAAGAAGTTGGGAAGGCGGAGCATTCCCTTGTCCATCGCGTGCTTGCTCGGGGGCAGCCGCTGCGTGGCGAGCGACATCACCGTGGTGTAGAAGGTCGTCGGCATCCATCGCAAACGTTGGCGGAGTAGACGGGCGCGCTGACGAGCGACCAGGACGTGAAGGTGGCGCCGATGCTCTCCCTAAAGCACGTACGAGCTGCGAGGCGACGCCAGCTTCTCCCATGGCGTCGAGGGTGGCCCTGGCGGCGGAGGCACGGGAACCTTTGTCATCTCGATCTTTGTCTTGGCGTCCACGGCGGCGTTCTTTCCTTCTGCGCGACGGTGCGCTGCGAGACGTAGATCTCTCTTCACTGCTTGACGACATTGTTGCGGTAGGTAGGGCAAGTCCAGTAAGCGGCTGCTGTACTGCTGTCCAATGTCCAGGGCGGCTGCGGTGCCAATACGTGGTTGGCGGAGAAGCTGCAGGCTGGTCTCGGCACGGGCAACGTTCACGACGGGAATGAAATGCTCGGAGCTGGGCTCGACGGCGGAGGCGTAGAGCACGGAGCTTGGCTCGACGTCGGATATGAAGTGCTCGGAGCTGGGCTCGACGGGCGATATGAAGTGCTCGGAGCTGGGCTCGACGGGCGATATGAAGTGTTCGGAGCTGGGCTCGACGGGCGATATGAAGGGCTCGGACGAGCTGGTATGGATGGCAGCCTGCAATGCCAAAGTGAGAAACAGGATGAGCTGTGGGCTGCCGCAAGCCCGTGGTTGTGGCGGCAAAAGCTTGGGGACTGGCCGCGGACTAGCGGTATCCATGAAGGACGCCGCAGGCATCATCATCTTGAGCCAAAATGGCTACGGAAGGAGGAGGAGGAGGAGGAGGAGGAGGAGGAGGAGGAGGAGGAGGAGGAGGGGGGGAGGGAGAGAGGGAGGGAGGGAGGGACTGGCCCTGCCGCGGGCCCGGCTGGAAACGGAAGGCGCCCGGGCCTCGGGCCTAACAAAGGGGCGCTGGCGCTCGGGCTGCCTACAGTCGGGGCCTTGACCTCAGGAACCCAAAGTAAGGAACGAGGCCCCTTTTCTCCGTAAGTTAACCCTCGATTCCCTGTCGAAGACATGAGGAAAGCCTGCGGCAGGCTGCGAAACACTTTTAAGGAACGCGGAGCCCCTCCCCAGAAAAAAGGGTCCCTTCTTCAGCGCCCCGACTTGTATCATGGCCCTCCTGGGCCACTCTGGGCCCTCCTTGAGCCTCTGTGGTCGGCCCCCCTCTGCGGCCCGCCCTTCCGCCTTCCCGGGCCGCTCTCGGCACGTTGTGGGGGCATTTCTGGGCCACGTTCGGGTCATCGCTGGCCTCCTGCCTCGGGTCGGCAGCAAGACTCCAGAGAGCTGATGACGGGCCGGCTATCAGACGATGATCCAAGCATCATGATCCATCCATCAGCCAACTTGGCACAAACGAGTCCAATCGATGGGATGCAGACGAATAAAATGTAAGAGGTAGTACAGAGATGCACCTGCGGGACCATCTTCGACTGTTTCCCGTATGGATTGAACCCGTCTTGGTGACATCTTATGACATCTTCGGCCCTTGCGACGAGAACCAGCCGCCTCGGACAGTTATTCTGTTTATTAGTGGACAACTTTGGGGACCTCCTTGGCCGTCCCTAAGCAATTTTGAATTCACTCTAGACCGTGGTAAGCCTCATGTGGGGCCGTGTTGGAGTTCGCTCGGCATACACGTAACCCTCCGTCGGGCAATATTCGGCTCGTAACTAAACAGGGCGGGCGGTGAACTCGATGTGTCTCGAATATGTTATGGTCGAGAATATGCTTCAGAACAGGCTGACCTGGGAAACCTGCCTGGATCAGCTCTCTGGAAGATTCTTGAGCAAACGCTGAGCCAGCCCAGCCCATGAGACGTCATGCATGTACAGAAGTGCTAGGGGCTAGGGACTGGGCCACCTGCTGGGAAGCTGCTGAAGAAACGCTGGGCCAGGCAAGTGATGGGACATTTCTACACGATCGGCTGCCCGGCGTCCCCGAGGGCCCCAACGCCCCCGTCATCCCAAATTGGATGCCACATGCACTGGGGGTCAACATGAAGGTCAAGCTGTGGACCAGAGATTCTCACCTCCTCGACTGTCCAACCCATCCTCCCTGGACGAAGAGGAGGTGGCCACAAGGCAGGAGGCTCAAGGGAAGGAGGAAGCCCGCGAGATGCAGCGGAGGAGTACGGGTTTGGTTGGGCATGTCCCCTCTGCAGGCGGATTTTGGACAAAAAAACAAAACACTCCAGAAATATTCAAAGCTAGTCAAAGCATACCAGAAAAATCGTCCCAGACTATTCGTTGACTATTTTTGAACATCCCTCCTGTAGAGATAGGGAGTCGAACTCTATACACCGACGCTTCTTCCGGCCCTGCATCAGAATTTGCACTGGAGAGCGGATCCCGGCGTATACGGGACCCTGGCGTGTACATTTTCCGTTGCTTCCCCAGGACGTCGGGGAAACAAGCATACACCACACCACCCCAGCGTCGTCCTCGACCCTCAAGAAATCCTGGGATCGAAAAACGGCCCGCCACTGGTAGTGCACACGGTCAAGGTGCAACTCAGCAGACCCGCCGCCAACGTTGAACATTGGGGGAAGGGGGAGGCGTTCACAGATGAATGCGGCATGCATCTTCCACAACTTGCACCGCTCAAGTTATGTAAGACCTGGCAGATCAGATTAAGATCTGGAAGGTCAAGTTAAGATCAGGAAGATCAAGTTAACATGATCGATCTACCACAACTTCCCCACAACTGCCAGCACTAGTTACAGTCAAAACGTATATTTAGGACGCGTGGTAAGGACGCAAGACCCTTGGAGGCTGAAGTTTGATTTTTTGGGGCGGCGGCGACCAGTGAAAACGGCAAAGGACGAGCCACAGAGGCAAGGACGCAAGGGTATCCCAGATGAAGGCGCGCGTCCTCACTAGGCGCGTTGACTGTATGAGCATCTCAGACCGCCACGAGACTTCGAGGTGCTGCTCCCCCACAAAGCAACAAGGACCATGCCTGCATGCTCCAGTTGCCGGCAGAGGGCCATGCCCGACGTCAGGGCACGGAGGGGGGGGAGGAGGCGAGGGCGGCGGAGGAGGCGACGCGCGCGCTCGAGGCGCACACCGGCTGGTCACCTGGCCGTAGTGGTACACCCCGGGGCCCGAGAGGGCACAGGTGACACCTCGGCGCCGCCTCCTCCCCCTCCTGCCTCCCCCTCCTCCTCCTCCTCCGCCTCCTCCTCCCCCTCCTCCTCCTCCTGCCTCCTCCTCCTCCTCCTCCTCCTCCTCCTCCTCCTCCTCCTCCTCCTCCTGCCTCCTCCTCCTCCTCCTCCCCTCCTCCTCCTCCTCTTCCTCCTCTTCCTCCTCCTCCCCCTCCTCTCCCTCTAGAATTACTCAATATGAATACTACTCTCCCTCTTCCCCTGATGATGGTTTGAAAGTGGCCGACCCCCCCCCGCGTACTGTATTTTTGCACACAGGTTTCCCCGGAGTTGGGTTTTCGCCTGCATTTTTTCCAAAATGCTGCTCTCGCTGAGGCGCCGGCCTCATTTTCGGGCCCCGCTCGTTCCGAATCGTGCTCCCGCTGCAGCGCTGGCCTCATTTCCGTGCTTCCGCTCGTTCCGAATCGTGCTCCCGCTGCAGCGCTGGCCTCATTTCCGCGCTTCCGCTCGTTTCGACTCGTGCTCCCGCTGCAGCGCTGGCGTCATTTCCCGTGCCATGCCACGGCATGCAATGCAATGCTAGGTTGATACTACGCTTTGCGGTGCTCTTCTACGCCATGCCATGCCGTGCTCTACAATGCATCGCGTACCCTTTCGGGATCATTGCCCTGCTCGACATCCGACTGAGCGAGTAGAGAGGGGATCTGCGCCATGGTAAGGGATGGGAGGGAAGGGTGGAGGATGTCAGATATGACGCGAGCGCACGTAGCTTGTCCCCCTCCCCCTCCCCCCCCCCACTCCCTCCCTCGCCCGTAGTGGTCCGCTGGTCTCGGCATGGCAACCCGAATCGGACGACGGCGATCCAGCAGATCTGGGCGTCGCAAATTTTTCACAGCTGGTTTTTCCGCCCAATTTCGGGCCCCGGGACCCTCAGAGATCGACAAAGCTCGACAAGTGACGCAGAGAGATGGGTTCCGGGGCTCTGGTGGTGACTTTTGGAAATGTTGCAGCTTTTTTGCAACGTCAGATCTGAAAGGATAGCGGCGGGTGGGGCTGCCCTCTTTCTCCAGACGGGTGACAAGCCGATGGGAGCATCTACCTGTCCAGCGCGCGCTCGGATCGACCATTGAAACAGGACGCAATTGACCCACAACTCTGCCAACCACCACCGCCCCGCCCTCCGTCGTCACGCGGGCCGCAGCGAGCCCCACACGAATTAGAGCAGACGCTTCCAAGCCAGTGCCGCGGCCGCGCTTGGACCGCGGTGGCGGGACCTGCGAGGCGGGGGGCCGAAAGAGGCGAGGGACGGGAGGAGAGGCAGGGCAGGAGGGAGTCGGGAACGTGCCTGCGTTTTGCAGACGCTCTCGGGAGGCAGTGGCTCGTTAGACGTCGAGCGGGCCAGTCATTCGCGAATTAGATCTCCGATACATGGAGCCCCTCACCTGTGGGAGCAAGGAGCTCATGCCCGTACCGTGCCAGACCTTGTCGTAGTTGTCCTGGAATGCTCTCATGTGTTGCACGTGAATCACCCAGACCACGATAGCGGCCAGCAGGAACAGCACAATGAAAAAGTAGCTCTCGACGTGCAGCATGACGGGGACTGGAACCAACAGCTTGTTCCCCTCCGCCGGTGACTTCTTATGCTCCTTCGGACCACCGTCTTGAGCGTCCCAGACAAACTTGGGCACCAACCGGAAGCCGTTCGCCAACACAAACCAAGGGACGCTCAGCAACGCGCACTTGACGGCAAGATGTCGATACACAGTGATATCCCTGTTCAAATAATATCCCGCAGATGCCTCGAAACCGGCAGGGCCAGACGTGGCAAGCCGAAGGGAGTGATAAGGCTGCGCCACGCCGACGTAGGTGCTGACCACGTTGGCGAGTGCAATGCCCATCAGGATCAAGAAAGCGATGAGCTGAAACGTGGACTCGACGGTTTCCAAGGACATCTTCTTCCGCATGCCGAAGCCCATGTCGACAGAGTTCTCGAGCATCAGCGTGGAGACCACCACCAGGCTGCCGAAAGCCACCAGTCTCTTGTCGATCACGCTGTCAGTAAAGAAGCGTGGATCATTTGAGATCTCCATGGACACTTCTCTCGACAGGTGGTCGTCGTTAAAGCCTGGGCCCTGCATCATGTCAAATGCGTCCTCCTCGGTGCTCGGAAACAGCTCGTACTGGGGGGTTCTCCGGAGCAACCGTGCTAACGAAGGGCCCGCGCAGAAGCAGCTCATGAACGGGCTGGCATAGCGCACAAGCAGCCTGAGCCCGAATGTCTGCAAAATGGCATGCTTAAGAATGAGGCTGTACAGAAGATGGTAGTGGAAGAGAAAACCAACGATGCACAGATGATGACGCGATAGTATGTCCGAGTGGTGCGGTTATGATCGTTCTGTGGCGGTATACCAACTCATGGCCGTATGTGCTGGACATCTGTTGGCGATGTAGCTTCTCCAGGTGACCCTTCGTTGCTGATGCACACAAGCAGCGTCGCCGCTGTATGCATAATCACGTAACCGCACGGTGCCACCAAAAATAGCAACGCCCGCCTGACCAACATCATTGCCGTTGCGAGTGCCCCAGCAAACACTGGAGATCCACTGCGGTCGCGTCGCACTATCAACAGGCAAGCCTCCGCCATTGCTCACTTGCACTACGTTTCGTGTGTGGCCTCCTCCTGCTCCTCTCCCCTCTCCCTCCTCCTCCTCCTCCTCCTTCTCCTCCTCCTTCTCCTGCTCCTGCTCCTCCTCCTCCTCCTCCTCCTCCTCCTCCTCCTCCTCCTCCTCCCTTTCATGGGTCACGACAGGAAAGGGCGCACGGCTGGCTCCACGCAATTCGTGGTACTTCCCCTGATCCCCGTGCACACGCATACATGTGAGCGAACACTTCTTTCTCGCCCAATCTCTCGGTGTGTTCCGACAGACCCCAAAAACATAACGCGCAAGTCCCATCGGAAACTCTGCGTGCCGCAAGCAAGTGGCAACGGGGGGGGGGGCAGAGAAAGAGGGGGAAGACACCGTACCGAACAGAGATTTCTCGAAACACTTTGGAAAGATCACGGCGCTGCAACTGTGTCTGCATCTAGCACGCAGCAGCGGGTCGAACTCCTAGGCAGCGCAAGTATCGTTCCAACCCTATTGAGCACAAGCGCTTTCGAGGCAGATCGGGCTAGCATCGAGGTACTGCTGCGATTTCACCGTGTGCGCGCGCACGCACAGTGCCCCAGTCTGGCAGCCGAGGCGGTGGCGAGCTCGGCTGGGTCTTGCGGCGGGCCGGCACCCGCTGGAGGCGATCGACCCGGGCCATCAGAGCTGGGCGGCAGTGGCGGCATGGAGAGCAGCACCGTCCACGCCCTGCCTGCGGGGGCTGGTCTTCCCCAATCCGACAGCCTCGAGCCCTCCGCCGACCAACCAGCCGGCGCCTGTCCCCCACCAGCGCCTGACGGCCGTGGCGACGGTCTCGTCGACGTCTGGAAAGGGCGGTTGCAGGGGCGGGGGAGGCCTCGAGCTTTTTTTTTTCTTCCATCGCAAAGCAGCAGATAACCTCGACCTGCACTGTCAAACACGACGGCGACGCTGCGCTACACAGCGCGAGACAGAGGAACACAAGACGGCCGTCGAGCTGTAGAGTCGACGAGCTTCTGCGCAGCATCGACAGCACTGCATGCGGCGGCGGCCGTGCAGAGGGAGGGCAGCGAGGCCTCGAGGGCGATGGGAGGCCTCGAGTGGTGTCGGGCCAGACGCCTGGGCCGGGGCCGAGGGCCAGGACGGGACCCCGCCGAGGGGGCGCCCCGGGCCGGGCCACCGCCGCGGGCTCTCCCTCGAGGGGCTGGCCTCTGCACCACTGGCGCGCCGCCCAGGGTGCTGCCAGAGGAAGAGGAAACGGCATGAACATAATGCTTGAAGGTACGCGCGGACCTCTTTTGGAGGCCTCTAAATTGGCACCAACACCAGCACAGGGGTTTGCCTCCACGTGGGGAAGATGGTCCTGGATTTCAGTGTTGGTGGTAATATTTCGGTCACCTTGGAAGCCAGAATATTGCCACTATCACCGAGATCGGGATCGTCTTCCCTCGGTGGAGGCACACCGCCAATCTTGGTGTTGGTGTCAACCTCTAGGCCTGCGACTCTTGGGTCCGCGCTGGACCCCCCCTGGCGGCGCCTCCAGCGTCGCCCTTGACGCAGTCCAAGCGCCAGAAAGGTGGCCCAGCGCCGATCCAGGAAATCCGCGCGGAGCTTCGAAAGCTTATACCCGTGCACATTGTTCTACACCCCTGCGTCTGGGCCAGATATCTCATGCTAGCATTGGGGTATCGCCGACCACACAACAAGCACCGAAAACAATAAGCGTCAGTTCATGCTTGACGAGTCTTGTAGGATAGGACGGTGCTGGGAGCAGCATGACTCGAAGACCTGACATTTTCCTGCTACTGTCGCTCGGCAGCCTGCCCAGGCTCAGTCTCCCAGGACACCTGGTGTTCCTTGGCAGGATTCCACTTCTCGAAGTCCTGCTCGGTCAGCTGCGTGAAGGCCGCGTCCACGAGGCTGGGCTGTCGTCAAGCCTCCTGGCAGAGTCCGTAGCCATTTTGGCTCAAGCCATTGGGCAGGAGCTAGGCCGCGGCTGCCGTCGAGAGGGCGGCAAGCCTCGATCGGGGCGCGCGATGGCACCGATGCTGTCGCTCGAGGCGGTGCTTGCGGAGTGCCCGGCTGCGGCGGGCGCTTTCGGCGCTATCTTGGCCGCCTGCGCCGCCGGCGTCAGCAGCAGAGCGTTGCCGACGCTGGTCGCGGCGGCGGCCCGCGGGGCGGTGCAAGGGGCATCCGCCCTAGCGGGCGCTGGCGATGGCGGCGGATGTGTCGGTGACGGGGGCAGCCTGCTCGGCCACTTGGAGGAGGCCCTGCACGTGCTTGGCAGGGCGGCGGGCTGTGACACTAAGCCGACGGTGGCGGCCGCCAAGGAGCTCCTCAGGTTGAAGGGGCCCCAGGGCTCACGCCTCGCCTCGAGGCTCGGGAAGCTGAGCAAGGCCAGGAACGTCGCGGGGCACCCCGATGTGAGCCTCATCGACGACGTGCGGACCCTCTTCGGCGGCGCCCCGCAGCTGGTGGCCACGACCGAGGAGACGATGATGGACGAACTCGTCCAGAAGCAGGCGACCGAGGAGAAGCCCATCGACCCTGGAGTGGACGGGGTGCACGACGCGAACATGCAGAAGGGCGAGCTCTACAGGCAGGCGCTTGCGGACATCATCGAAACCAAGCTCCAGTGCATCGAGCGGCAGCTGGAGTGCTTGAGCGCGAAGCTCGAGCAGAAGCAGGACACCATGGCCGTCGGCGACAAGCAGGCGCGGGTGGACAGTGAGACGGTCTCTGCCGCCAATGACGCGAAGACGTCCGAGGCGGAGGCTGACGAGTCGACCACCGGCGAGGCCACGGAGACCAACAGTGACACCAAGCTCCAGTGCATTGACAGGCAGCTGGAGTGCTTGAGCGCGAAGCTCGAGCAGATGCAGGACACCAAGGCCGTCGGCGAGAAGCAGGCGCAGGTGGACAGCGAGACGGCCTCTGCCGCCAGCGACGCGAAGACGTCCGAGGCGGAGGCTTGCGAGTCGACCACCAGCGAGGCCATGGAGACCAACATCGACCCTGAGGGGCAAGAGATCAGCGGCACGGACGACCAGCTTGAAGACAGGATCAGAGAGCTCCTGCAGGAGCTCCGCTCCACGATGGGCTCGGCGGAGTACACGATGTTCCTACAGAAGGTGAACACGACGTCGCAGAGAGCGATGCTCGAAGACCTCATGCACGCGATCAGCATGAGGGCACCCAGCAAGGCCAGTCGTCGGCGCCAGGGGCGCCAGCGTGAGCCCTAGCTGCGCATCCAGGGGGCGGGAGTGGCTTCGGTGGTCCCCTCCCTTTCGGGAGGGGCACAGCCAGGCTGGTGCCTTGCGCGGGCGCCACTGGTGATGCCGCACACCGCGGGGAGGCCCTCTCGGCCTCCGCCTGGCACATTTTATGATACAGATTTCTGCTATTGGTTGGAGTCTGGTACTTCCTGCCTCGGTCGATCGTGAAAGGCACGGTGGCGGATGGTAGTAGCTTTTCGCGTGTCGCTGCTTGCCTGGCTGGTGGCGCCTCGCACGGATTCGGTTGCGCATTTGTGCACTCATGTAATCCAGCCTCGTCGTTGGTGTCAGTCACCCCGGCGTGTTCCAGTATGAAGTCTGCTCCTCGGTTGGCCTCAGCCGAGCTGCAATGGGATTAAAAAGCCTCCTGGCAGAAATCGTGTTCGACTGCTGGGCGGTGGTGGACAGGCTCTTGACTGGGCGAGCCCACCGCTGTCGGAATGCTGCATCAGACGCACACCTCTGGGCGTCACGTGGGTCACCAGGAGCAGCTCGCAGGGCACGCCCCCCGCGACGCGGTCGACAAGCTCGCGAAGGAAGGAGCTCCAGACTGCGCAGCGCTCGAACGGGCAGTTGACCTGGTCAAGTCGCGCAGCAAGAAGACCAAACGAGTGCTGCAGTATATCGACAGCTTCAGGGTCCTGCTTGCTGGGGTGGTCACCGCAGCGGCGAAGGCGGACCACGTCAGCAGGTCGAGGCGAAGAGGAGGCCCCCCTGGTACCCCGAGGGCATGTGCTGTGTGGGCACGGGGCGATGTGGAGGTGTACACACTGCAACGCCCACTGCTGCACCCATGCGAGCCGCTGGAGTCTCTTGCTCGAGGAGCTCAGCCCCGAGCGCCAGGTTGACACGGCCGAGGCGAACAGCAGGACGCCGAGGCGCCAGGAGGGGCCGGCGAGCGGCTCGGACGACGGGAACGCCGACGGCGCGTCTCAGGGAGGCACAGCGCCGACGCCGGCACCGGCCCACGGCCGCGAGCGCTCGTGCGCGCCGTGCGGCGGCTTCGGCGTGTGCTGGGCCTGCGCGACGTCCTGCAGGCGCCAAGCACGACGGGCCCAGAGCGCGGCGTGCACAGGCTTTTTTGTTTTGTTTTGATTCGCGGGTCGAGAGCGCACCTCTTCCGGTCGAAGCTAAGCGGGCCGCGCGAAGCCTGAATTAACAGAGGGGGGCCATAATCGCGGCGTGCACAGGCCCACTGGGCTCGCCTCTGCGCGGCGCAGGGCACGGAGGAGGGACCTTCTCCTGCGCTGCGCGGCAGGAGCCCCCGCACGAGCGAGCGGACGGGCGCCGACGTCGCGGGGAGTCGGGCCCGAGGCGACGGAGCTGGCCTGGGCA